TCTGCTGGAGCTTCTCTGGGGAGGGGGTGTCCAGCCTTTTCTGGGTCTGCTGCCGGCCTGGTGAAAGTCTTATCAAGACTTATCAGTTCCTGCTTTCTGCAAGATTGGATTTTTGCAACTTCAGGGCTATTACTTCCCAGGAAATTTACTGCCATTGCCTTGGGAGGGGGGCTTCCCTATCTGCCTGCCTACCTCCATCATCATCTCGTTTTCATTTTCCACCTCTGCCCCAAATTCTAGGCACGGTGCCTGGTTCTTACTAACTTTTATAAAGTACCACTTTCTCTTTTCCAGTCTGATCGTTCAGGGTCTCTGGGCATGTTTTTAATGGATGCATTACTCCTGGTACTTAGTAGGCCATCAGTCATTGTTTTGCAGTGACTCGGGTTTTTATTAGCCTTCAGATCCCTGTCTCCCTTTTGGCTTCCCTGCCTATGTTCCTGTTCCCACTCCCACTCCTCTTAGCTCATTTACGGACACAGTGCCAGCAAGCTAGCTTGCAAGACCCGGTCACTCCGGCTCCTATTGTTCCATGATAATGTTGTCAATATGCTTTAATGTGCCTGCCAGGGATGTAGTTTTAATGGAATTGCCACCCCCATTTAGGCGCTCCTTCCTGTTTTCCTTGAGGCCAGCATGCACAGAATGTGAATCTAAACATTTCACCTTCTCATCATGCAACAGGAGTCAGACACTTTCAATTAACTGGTCGCTGGTGGCCCCAAGATTCATCACCCCTCCCCCCCAAGTCTGTGTTTTAATCCAGTGAATTGATACTGCCTGGGGACTGGGCGCACTTGCACTTTCCCGGGTAATCGCTTCTGATACATCCTTTCTGTCTGCCACAGCATCCTCCCTGGAGTCTGTGCCCTTTCTGTTTCTTGTGAGTCACAGGGGGCCTTGGGCATTGTCAGCCTGCAATTAAAACCTGCTGTATTCTCAGCACCACAGACAGCAAACACTCAAGGAGTTCCCTTCCTTTAAGGTTCTTCCCCTTTTATTATTTGGCCTTGTTTCATTTTCACCTATTTCTCAGTGCTGGTAGCAGACACTGGGTATAGAGAAGCTTCCTTTATTTATTTATTTATTTATTTTCTTTTTGGGTCACACCCAGCGATGCTCAGGAGTCACTCCTGGCTTTGTACTCAGGAATTACTCCTGGCAGTGCTTGGGCAGCATCTACATAGGATGCTGGGGATCAAACCTGGGTCTGCCTTGTGCAAGGCAAATGCCCTACCCGCTGTACCCTTGCTCTGGCACCAGAGAAGCTTCCTTTAAAGATAAAAAGTACTTCTAAAATTACCTACTTGGAAACATAAAGATAGAATTTTATAGACGTATCACCAAGCAAGATCCAGCCTAAGTGTTATAGGGTAAAGGTGAACTTCTTAGAAATCTGTATTTAAATGGTGCCCTATGGTGGGAATCTTTAGTTAAATTACAACAGTGTTGCTCAGGAAATCAGTATTTTTCTTCCAAGTATGTGCAGATTGCACTGTTAGATCATAGAAATATCTGAATGCTTTTATTTTATTCTTTTTATGTATGAAAACACTATAATTTTGTATAAAGTATTTTATACGTATACAAAATGGAATTGTAGAACACTGTTAGCATGTACACCTGTAACGCTGATTTTTAAAACTGTCTGCCCCGACATAGAAAGATTGCATTCATCTGGGGAACATAAAGTAACAAAATAGGAGACTAACACCCAAGGATAGCTGTGATAGATACCAGGAGGTTCACTTTATGGCTTGGTGGCCAGCCGCACACTCTAGGGGTAAAGGCAGCTCAGATAGAGAAGGGAGCACCAAATAAAGGGTGTTGGAAAATTCCGCCCAGGATGGGAGATGCATGCTGAAAGTAGACTATAGACCGAACATGATTGCCACCCAATGTCTCTTTTTCAAACCATAGCACCCAAAAAGGCCCTCCCGTTGATCATCAATTTGCTCGAGCTGGCCCAATAACGTCTCCATTGGAGACTTTGTTGTTACTGTGTCTGGCATATCGAGCACCCAAAAGGAGAGAGACAACAAAAGGGAGTGCCCTGCCACAGAGGCAGGGTGGGATGGGGGGAGAGGGGGGTGGGAGGGATACTGGGATTGGTTGGTGGTGGTGTTTCACTAAAAAATAAATAAATAAATAAATTTCAATCTACCTCAAAAAAATAAATAAATAAAACTGCCTGCCCCTTATTTCTCTTATTTTAAAAGATTTTCAAAATGTAAAAAAAAAAAAATGATGAATGCAATTAGCTTTGATTGGGGACAGTGATCTTTGCCCTCTCTCTGGGAGCCAGGTCCCGCCCCTTATATTTGTTAGCTTTCTCTGTAACAACCAGAACTAAGTTCCTTGCCTCTTTGAGACTCTGAGTACCAAATAGCTCCCGCACCATTCCCTTCACCAATATCAAAGTTTTTCCAGTCACTAGGACAAACAGCTTGTACAGACAGAGAATGGGATGGGGTTTCAAATATGTCTTTCCTGATCTACCCTTAGCCCCCCCACTTCACCCCCCATGAGTGTTTGGACCAATGGAAGAAACATGATAGTCAGATCCATAAGTAACATTAATAATTAACCAGTTCAGATTCAAATACTTAGCATTATTCTTTTCACGCTGCAAAGTATTGCCAGTCTTTACTGTAAGAACTTAAATGATCGGAAGCCCGTATGGACTATCTCATTTCCCCACCTCTATAAATCACCCCACACCACCTCCAGCCATTCGCCCACTCTCCTGCCATGAAGCAGCATGAATTTTTTATCTTTATTTATTAAATTTTGGAGGGGAAGGGGGGTTGGCTCTACCCGCCAGTGCTCAGGGGACCATATACACTCTGCCAGAGATGCATTGCAGGGTAAATGCTATAATCCCTGTATATTCTCTCAGGTTTCTTATAACAGCATTTTAAACAATCAAGGAAGGAAAGTGACATTCGGTAATATATCAGAGTGTGTGTGTGTGTGTGTGTGTGTGTGTGTGTGTGTGTGTGTGTTGGGGGGGTGCGGCGGAGAGCTGGAAAGTTAGTACAGAGGGTAGGGCACTTGCTTTGCACATGGCCAACCTGGGTTCAATCCTGGCACCCCATATGATCCCCTGAGCCCCACTAAGGTATGATTCTAGAGCAGAGCCAGGAGTACGCCCCTGAGCACCAGCAGATGTGGTCCCCAAACAAAAGACTCCAGAGTCAGAAGCGTCATCTGAGAGTCCCTGCAGGCTTTGCTGAGGGTACAATAGCCACTGTTTTCTGAAGTGGGCAGTGTGGCCCCCTGGGAGGTGCTGGTTGGGGGTGGGGGGGGTGGGTAGGAGTACCCTCTGTTTGTTCCGCTTCAATAGGAAGGGTATGCTGCATGATTTTCTTTTTCTGAAAGAGGGCCTCAGGTCAGACAAGTTGAATTGCTCTAGTCCAGTGGGAAAATGATCAATAAATAAGTCCACATGTCCTTTCGGAAGTGATAGCATGTGTGAAGTCCCTGAAACCAGAGGCTGTTGCTGAGAGGGTGGTGAGAGTAGACCATACCCCTCTTAACAGCACTTGGGATCTGTGAGATGTGACCTGAAAGTCACCAGCCAGATGTACAACAAGTGGAACAAGCATAAGAAACACCTGGGACAGAAGAGTTTCAGGAAAGTCGACACCAGACAGGGTCATGGGAACCTCCCACCATGGCTGAATCCTGGGCATTCTGCTGTCCTCTGCTTATATTCCTTCTTGCATGCCAAACCCTCATAACCAAAGAAAGTCGTTACCAAAAGAAATGCCACAGGGCAGCGCCCTACCTTCAAACAGTGTGCCACGGAGGTAGCTTCTTATCAAACACCAGTGCTTGGATGTCCACCACCTTAAGGGTCAAAGAAGGGGGAATAGACCCATAATTTAGGGGGTCTAAAGTTACCTAATCTCGTTAATTTATCTAAACTGGCATAAACAACTTTGCTCTCTTTCTTTCAATGCTTTCTGCAATGGAGAAACTATTGGTGTTTTTTTGTTTGTTTGTTTGTTTTTGTAAAGACAGAATCTGTGGGTAGGTTTCCTTTTTAGCCATACAACAGCACTTTGGGGCCTATTGATGTAGGAGGGGTACATCCTGCCTGCAGTCAATTGCAAGACTTCTGCACTTTTGCATGAACTGGGGAGAGAAAGATACCCAGGGGACTGTCACCAGTAGACCCAGATGACAGTACAACATGGTGGGTGAGTGGGGAGGGGGGAAGAAAAACACCAGTATTTACATAGTGGACCACTTGAGAGAGAGGCCAGATGGGCAGGAGTCTGGCCTCTCCAGACTTAGAAGTGTTTCTTAAAATGCTCCAGACTTTTATTGATCTGTTCCCTAATAGCTCTACAAGTAGAAAGTGGAATTTTTAATAGTCCTTAAAGATCCTGCACATGTCAGCCACATATTGCCAATGTCTCAGAGAGTAAGGGAACCGTGAATAACAAAGGAGTCAACCCTGGGCAGTATTCTGAGGAAATTATGGGAAGGAAGAAGAGTATTTCAGAAAAAAATTCTATGCCATGTGGGTTTGAGAAGGGGATAGGAGCAGAAAACCACAGTGGGAGTTGGGATGAGGAGGAGGTAGAGATAGTGAAGACCATGAAGTTGGACTCTCTGGGCATAGATCTCAGCCCCATGGTTTCCTACTATGTGACCTTGAACAGTTAAGTTAATCTCTTAGCTTCCCTGTGCCCAGAAGCTGCAGAATGAGAGCAATAATCTTGGCCTATACTAGATATATGAATCTAGACAGTATGTATCCGGTGCCTGGCTTAGCAGCATATAGCTTTTAGAGTTTTGATCTTGATTGTATTGGGCAACATGGCACCATTAAACAGAGATCAATGGGAGGATGGGAAAGAAACATTATCGAAAGCCAAGAGCAAAGAAGACTTGGAAAGAACACTGTTCAGATGGCATGGAGTGAACCTGTACTTCACAATGTGTGATCCCTTCTTTCTCTTCCTTCTTCCCTCACTTGATTTTTACAGGTTTTACTGTGCATCACCTACACCCCAACCTTTGACCTGAATGGGAGTGCAGTATTGAAGATCGCAGAGGTGAGTCTGGGGGTGTCTCCCCTGCCTTTCCACGCGCTTCTGTGTGTGCTGCCTGTTCAGGCTTCAGGGTGGAGCTAAGTCTCAATAGTGGGGTGAGCTCTCAAGCATCATTACTGTGGGTAATGTCTCTGAGGAATTGATCCGTGGGAAGCAGGCTCTGGGGTCCTTCATTCACTCACAGTGCTCTGCATGCTTTGATGTGCTTGGCTAGAGGCTTTAGCCATGAAAATAACAGTACTGGTTCACCCGACACTGCTACACCTAGGTATGTGTGTGCTACACCTACCTGTTGTTTTCTATTCAACATATTTTTTTTAAAATATGCTTATAAGAGACCAAGTATAAGGACTCAGATGTTTATTCATTACAGATCACCCCATCTTCTAAACTCTAATAAATGTGTCTTGTACCCGTCATTGGGAAGCCTTCTCTTTTCCATCTACATTGCCGCTTTGGATAACAGGTACCTCCCAGCACACTGCAAAGTGTGTCCATCAGAAAATGTGGCTTCTTGATCATCAAACATACGCCCTTGACTTTTGGAACACCACCAGTCTGAAGCTTCGCTTTACTAAAATTAGGATATTTTTTCCCTTCATTTCTTGAACATCTTCAGGATTCATAAGTTTTGATGAGAGTACACATATTTTCTTGAGAAGAGGCAAGCATTTTCTGGAGACTGAGTTTATGGAGAGAAAGAAAGCCCAATTATCAGCCCTCGTGGGCAGTTATTTATTGTGCTGTTTGTTTTTATGATACTAATTACCATTTAATGACTAAGACAAGTAAGATAGTAAACACTTTGGGTACATTTTCTTCTCATCATTATTGAAGTATCATTGACTAATAAAACTTGTGTATTTTTCAAATGTAGAACTGGATGTTTTGATGCAGACACACACTGAAATAATCACCACAATCAAGCTTGTGAATATCTGTCACTGCATGCAGTGAAAATGATCCTGAGTGGTATTTATAGTGGATGGTGACACATGTGTTATGCAGTGTTTGGGATAAGAATGAAAATTATGACTTTGTTATATTGTTATATGTCTGTCGAAAGAAAAAGCAGCAATTTGCTGACCTCACTAACATAAATCAGTCAGTACTAAAAATCAGTCAGCATTTTCATAGATAGAGTGAACCCTTTTCTTTAACATTTTTACTCTGCATAAGTAAAGAAATTGAATATCAGTATTTCTAAATGAATTTGAAGGGCTGCAATGGTTGTTCTTATTTTTGCATGTGCAAGTGCAAATACAAAGTGTGTGTGTGGTGTGTGTGTGTGTGTGTGTGTGAGAGAGAGAGAGAGAGAGAGAGAGAGAGAGAGAGAGCACACGCACAAGAGTGCACTTTTTCACTACACCCATTTACCACTTAACAGAAAACCGGTTGAGCATCCCCACAGGGCATGTTGTCTTCTAGCTTTTCTGTAGTTTTATAATAGCTAAGTAGTCAGCCTTTATTTACTCCGCCTCCCTACCCTTCCATCCATCACTTTTCATTCTCAGCTTTTTTAAGTTTGACTGTTTTCAATACTTCCTATAGTTTTGGTTTTCAAAGGGTAATTGTGGTTTCTGATCTCACAAAGATACAGGAAGGCCTTTGGCCTTTTGACTCTGCAGGATTAGGGTGGTAACTGCCAGCTAGTACTCTTACTGACCTAGGGGGAAGGCAGAGTGCACAGGTGTTACAGGAGCCTCCAGGCGGGTACCAGGATCCCCCAAACTGCCTCTTAAAAGAAAAGTAGGTTGCCTTCCTAATCCTCACAGGAACCAGAGTATAAAGGAAAATCTGAAAGACTCAAGATGCATTTCCAAACAGTAAACACATGGGGCCAGAGAGACAGTATAGCAGGTAAGGTCCTTGCTTGCATGCAGCCAACCTGGATTCAGTCCCCAGCATCACACAGAGTGCCCTGATTTCTGCCAGGGGTAACCCCTGAGCACAAAGCCAGAAGTTAGCCCAGAAGCACAGCCAAGTGTGGCTCCCAAACCAAACAAAATAATCAGGCAAACCAAAGAGCAGACATACAGCTATGATCAGCCACATCAAGGGCATTCACTGGAGAAATGCCAAAGCATGGTGGGTTCTAACAAAACTTGTGCAAGAGGCCCAGGGCATGGTTTGGAGGTAAACTGAGACTAACAATTGCATGCAGGGAACTAGGGGTCTATTTTGACCTCTCTCTCTCTCTCTCTCTCTCTCTCTCTCTCTCTCTCTCTCTGTCTCTGTCTCTCTCTCTCTCACACACACACACACACACACACACACACAAACACATAAACACTCACTCACTATAGTGAGTGTTTTTAGCCCTGGGATGAAAAACAACCAGCCCAGGGTGATGTAAAGCTGAAGTTGGTGGTGCAAAGTCGGGATGCTGGAGCCCTGACACTGGACATCAATCCCAGGTCCCCCAATCCCCCACTGCCAGGGAAGTTGTCATGGATACCACTCTGGGCCTCTTGTTTGTTCTCGGTAAAAGTGGTGCTAATTGTACCATCTCATCTCAGGGTTGTGCCAGTTAGACCAGGAAAAACAAAATTGTGATAAGCCCTAAGGCAGGTGCAAGCACCTAGGAAATTGCTCCATCTCTGTGAGTTGTCATTGTCAGGTCACTACAGACTGGTGACACTGCCTAGATTTCGACAGGGTTGGTCCCTGAAAAGGTGGGGTTCCCCACTTTTGGGTCAGTCCCTGGCCATCCATTGGGCCAGGGCTCTGATCAACCAGCTTGCTATCCAACTTGGTATGGCCTATAGCTCCTGGTTGGAACTGCAGACCCCCAGTTCCCAGCAGAAAGTCAGTGCAGTGATCAGGAAATGGGTTCCACCAACCCACCCCCTGAAAAAGCATGTCACCTCCTCCTTAGCTCTTCTCATTTGCACTAAAGGCTTGGGATACTTTCCTCTGCGGGAAAGACTTGGCGAAGATCTGAACCCAGCATGTTTCTTCCTGAATTTCCTGCATGCAATCTCCCAGAAGCAAGCTGTAGGCCCACACACTGCCCCTCCCGCCTGGCAGTCTATGAAGGACACAGGCTGCCAGTTCTCCTGTGCCAGGACATCTTGGAAGAGTCCCCTGCAGCGTCGGGGTGCAGACATTGTCCAAACCAACCATGAGAGCCTCCTTGGCAAAGGCCTTTTGATAAGTAGAAGGTGCAGCCTGGCTCCTCTGTGCTGGTGGGGACCTGCCAAGGGACATCAGTTCCCAGAAAGCAAAATGTAAAAGTGTCACCTTATATCTGGTCCAGCCATGAGTCAGGACATTCTCAAGCCAATGTACTGAGAGGTTGAGTGATCCCTGAGAGTGACAAGCTTCACAGATGGCAGAGCCAGGGGTGCACTCCACCCCGCTGCATGGATCAAAAAGCCAACAATTGAGATGCCCTGTGGGATGCTGCCCCTGCTGAGAACAGAAGATCCTGAACCATCAGCTGGAGCTGCAATTCTGCACATTTTCATGGGGGCATAAGCTAGATTCCTGCCTCCCTGTGCTGTTCCCTCTCATAGCTAGTAGTGGTGAGAGGGCATGCAAACATATTCAGTCACTTGTGGCCAGAGACAAGTCAGTAGACTCAAAGGTTGTGTGATAAAGCTTTTGCTAATCCTTATTTAGCATGTATGCAGGCCCAGGCACTGTTCTAGTAACTTCACCTGTACAAATGGTCCCTTGTGTGTGAGGGCTTGGTATGTGCTGTACCAACCTGAATGAAGATGGAGTAAAAGTAATACTCATTCAACAGAAAGGACAATAAGGTGTTCTCATAATGCTGGACAGTGTCAGCCAAACAATTTTTGACTTAAGATATTTTCTTCTTTTTTTATTTTTTTCTCTTTTTAAAACAGATTGATCACTAACTTACAACATTATAGAATTTCAGTAATAATACATAAATAATTTCAGGAGTACACATATAATTCCTCGATATGTGTGTAGAATGTGTCATATCCACCACCAAAATCTCTCTCCTCATTCCTCCCATACATCCTCCATCCCTTCTAATAACCACCATAGTTTTCACCAAGTGGAGGAATTACTTTGTTGTGTCCTAGTTCATTTGCTTGAGTTATTTCTATTCCACACATTATTAAAGCCATGAGTAATATGTCTTCGACATACTCCACAATCACCTCATATTCCATTCATCTTTTCTCAGATAGGACAACAATCCCATATGTTTTTAAATGCACACAATTTATTGGGCATTATACTACTGCTTCTTAATCTAGCCACTTAACATATCTTCAACTTTAGATGGTTTGGGGGTGGGAGGCATGTAACCTTGTTATTTATTGAGGAATATCACTGTTTAATCACACACTCCACATGACATTACTAAGAAGTAAAAAATATTGTCATCCAGATTTTACCAGTAAGGGAACTGATATGGAAAAGTTTATACAATTAGGAAATACTGGAACCAGGAGGCAAGGTCATTTGGACTGAGCACTGGGTCTCTGCCCCGTGTCGCACTCGCTGTCATATGACTCTTAGAGTGATTCACTTGCTTGATGAAAGCTCACCTTGTAAAAAGCAAAAAGGTCATTTGCTCATTCTTTGTTAATCTTGCTAACTCTCAGAATCTTCCCTTTCATCCCAAAGCATGCTTAGACACTAATGCACTGTAGTTCAGAGAATTTTTGTCTTTGACATTCTTCTTTAGGTTCAGAGAATATCAGACATCAGTTTATTGCTACTGATTACAGTCCAGAATAGGATACAGGCATATGTAATTTTCATAGGTTCCTGTGTAAATTTGACATTTTCAGTGGTTATTTAATTAAACTTTGTCTTTTCCCCCTTATCCTCCTAAAACTGATTTCCACAGGGGATAGGTAGAGCTGCCAGGAGACTTACTTTTAGAGTTGATGATTCTCATCTGAGAGTACACATTGAACTGGCTTGGCAACTGTTAACAAGAATAAGATGCCAAGGGTTGCTCTCAGAATTTTAAGATTTGGGGTATTGGAGGAACTTGGCTTAGAATTTTGTAA